AGGAGCTGGTTTGAGACACGCCTGACCACTCCTCGTAGAAAACTTCTTTTCGCTGTGCCCCGCCCACACTTTTCTTTTATTGTGCTGAGTGTTGCCACTGTCATCACAGTCTATCTTTTGTTTTGGTCTGTCTTTGGCCTACTCACAGAATTCTACACTAAGTGTAGAATTCTGTGGGCCTACTCTAATCAACCTCAGCGCTACGTTTTTCCAAGTGACCGTTGATACCGTTGTTGTTTTTCAAGTTGTTTCTATTTTATTGCTGTTGTTGTTGTCGTTATTGATGCTGTTAATTTCTAAAAAGTTTTAGCAAGAGTTTTACGGCGCTCGCAACAGCATAAGGTCGTATGAGCGTACAAAACACACGTTGGTTGTATTCACAACAGTTCACTACACGGCTTAGCCCAGTTCAATGACCAGATTTAAAATGCTAAAAACTTTAGGTAAAATAACAGTTTAAAAAATGATAACCTGCTTAAAATCAAAATACATAACTTTTTTACAATATACCGTAAAGGACAACGGCCTCTATAAAATCGAGAATTCTGTTGGGATCAACGACGGATAACAGATCTTGCAATTTTTTGCATTTAAACCACTTCCTTGCTGTCCTTATACTGCTGTTGTTGCTGTTGCTGCTGTTGCTGCTGTTGCTGCTGTTGCTGCTGTTGCTGCTGTTGCTGCTGTTGTTGCAGTTATTTATATCTCTTCTGTTGTTACAGGTATAGTTGTTGTTATTTTTGTTTTTGTTGCTAATGCTATTGTTCAGTTGTTGTTGCTGTTATTGTTTCAGTTATTGTTGTCATCGTTGTTGCAGTTACAGATGTTGTTGCAGATATTTTAGCAGTAGCAGTTGTTATGGTTGTTGTTGTTGTTGTTGTTGTTGTTGTTGTTGTTGTTGTTGTTGTTAATGTTGTTGTTGTTGTTAATGTTGTTGTTGTTGTTAATGTTGTTGTTGTTACTGTTGTTGATGTTGTTGCTATTATTGTTATTGCTGTTGTTTTTGCAGATATCGTAGCAGTTGATGTTGCTGTTGTTGTTGTTTTTATTGTTGTTGTTTTTATTGTTGTTGTTTTTGTCGTCGTCGTCGTCGTCGTCGTCGTCGTCGTCGTCGTCGTCGTCGTTGTCGTTGTTGTTGTTGTTGTCGTTGTCGTTGTTGTTGCTGTTATTGTTATTGCTGATATTTATGCAGATATCATAGCTGTTGTTGTTGCTGTTTTTGTCGTGGTCTTTATAGTGGTAATACATGTAGCAGCGTGCTTCTGACGATTTCAGAGTGAGTATCAATGCGTTTGACACAAGAGCTAAACATCCCATAAAGAGCAAGAGCAATTTGTATAGAAAATAAATTAAAAGTAAAGAACTCGATGTACTTTGACCATGGATTAATCTAACTCAACTCATGCGCAGGTTACAGTCGGGCATAGATAAATCGAACACGGAAGACTCGAAATCACGGATATGTCGTATAATTTGCCATTCCTTAACTGAAATCTCTATAATTTTTCGTTATCGGTTTACCCGAATTATGGGTGTCGAGCTTATTTCGCTTCCTTAGAATTATAAAGTTGTATCAGCTCAGAACCTAGTTTTGAGAAATTTTACGTAAAAAAATTTGAGTTTCATAATATGTAAAGCTTTTTCGAATGCAATTCCTTGAACATCTTGATAACGACTACGAATAATCTTACTATTTTGATAAAGCAGATAGGGCATTAATTTGCTTTCTGAACCTCATGGTCTTAGTAACTCAAAGCGGCCAAAAATGTCAGAGACAGAACTTTCTAATTCCGAGGTAGCGAAATACATGTATTTGTATTTGTCAATACCTGACATGTTCCGAGTGATTCATGCTCGGTTGTATTATGTTTAATGGACAGGTAGCCGTATTCCACAACGATTCCCAGCATAATTATTTTCCTACCTGGTGTACAGTGCGTTCCTGGCAGCCGCAAAGACAGGGGGCACCTTGAGGCTGTCCAGCTCAGTGAGCTGTGTGCGCGCGGACGAGGGGTCCGGCATGCTCCGGCCGATAGCGGTGCACGGATTCACCTGAGCAGATAGCGTGCGGCATGATGATGAAGGGGAAGACGAGAGGATTTTTTGTGTTTTTTTTGTTTGGGTTCTCTGGACGGCAGGTGAACACTAGGTAATTCTCACATTGGGATTGAGTGGCCGATGTGGTGATGATGCTTTCACGTGTACTTATTCTCTCTCTTATCACTATTGTAAACCACTCAACTTGCTTTCTAGTGCCCCCCCCCCCCCCCGCCCTCTCTCTCTTTCACACTTTCTACCTTGCTTTTTCTTTCTTTGTCTGTTTGTCTAGCAAAGGAGGTGTGTGAGTGTATGGGTGTGTGTGTATGAGTGTGTGTGTGTGTGTGTGTGTGTGTGTGTGTGTGTGTGTGTGTGTGTGTGTGTGTGTGTGTGTGTGTGTGTGTGTGTGTGTGTGTCTGTGTGTGTGCCTGTTTTTTTTAAAGAATATCTATCTGTCTATCTGTCTGTCCCCCATTCTCTCCCACCCTCCTCTCACCCACCCTCCTCTCACCCAAATATCTGTGTGAACAGTGGAGTAAAACGATTGTTCTCAAATTTAAATAGATTATGGGAAAAGTGAAATGTTTTTGCACTGAATAAATGAAAGTTTTCAAAAGAAAACATGTAGATCTATAGCTAATGTAGGTTAGGATAACGTCGTGGAACAGTGAATAAATATGTTAATTACATAAAGTGGAATCGACCCCAGCTTGATTTTGAAAATAATTTGAAAAAGCAGTTTACGAAAATAAAAGCCCTCGACCCTATCCATACTCCGAAATTACATAGATCTAATAATAATTTAGCTCCACAATATCACATTTAGTCGGTTTGTTCATACTAAGTTACTCTGTCGCCCCCCCCCCCTCCCGAGTCTGAGTCTGATAGGCACATACATGTCATTATCATTCACGTCTTTACCGAATGCCAAGTACCTAATTGTAGCTAAGTGAACTGAGGAAAATAGCATAAGGTACATTTCTATGGTATGGTATGGTATGGTATGGTATGGTATGGTATGGTATGGTATGGTATGGTATGGTATGGTATGGTATGGTATGGTATGGTATGGCGTTCCATTTAACACGTCGCCGTTTTGCAAAAGGTAGGGTCTCTGATTTGAAATGCATCTAAAACATCATCATCATTGCTTTTCTCACCCTGCACCAGGGTATATAGGTCATGGACAAACACTTTCCACCTTTTTCTATCCGGGGCTTGCCTTTTGATGTTATTCCGTGTCTTCCCACTTTTCACATCTAAGACAGGAGTGTCCCAAGTGTTTAGAGGGCTATGAAAACTCCTACCAGAAACCTAACATGAAAGCGCACTGTGAGAGATTCTAATCATGACCGCCCACAGGGCAATGATTGTGCTGGTATTCCATATTTCGTTGCTGCCAATGTCATACTCCCCCTCCCCCTCCCCCTCCCCCTATCTCTCTCTCTCTCTCTCTCTCTCTCTCTCTCTCTCTCTCTCTCTCTCTCTCGCTCTCTCTCTCCGTACCTCTCTCCCTATATCTCTCTCCCTCTCTATCTCTGTTTATGTATGTATGTATGTATGTATGTATGTATGTATGTATGTATGTATGTATGTATGTATGTATGTATGTATGTATGTATGTATGTATGTATGTATGTATGTATGTATGTATGTATGTATGTATGTGTGTGTGTGTGTGTGTGTGTGTGAGAGAGAGAGAGAGACACAGAGAGAGAGGGAGAGAGAGTGAGAGAGATATATACATATATAGATATATATAGAGAGAGAGAGAGAGAGAGAGAGATATATATATAGACACACACATATAGAGGGAGAGAGAGAGAGAGAGAGAGAGAGAGAGAGAGAGAGAGAGAGAGAGAGAGAGAGAGAGAGAGAGAGAGAGAGAGAGAGAGAGAGAGAGAGAGAGAGAGAATCCTAATCATGAGACACCTAATCAACCTCACCACACCTTTGCTGACTGGTAGTAGGTGCTCGGTCTCCATGGCAACGTGGTAAGAGATTGCCTCATTGGAGTTGGGGCTGGGTACGTGTCGTAGGCCTTGTAAGATCTCTGCATGTTGCCAATGGACGGCAGGGGGGTGAACTGTGTGCACTGACGAGGGCCAGTCGTATACGTGGCGTTCTGAGTGGCTCCTGTTTTAGTTTATAAATAGTAAGAGTAGAGTTTTACGGCGCGTGCAACACAAAAAGGCCATATAAGTGCCGACGATTACAAGCGTTACTAGAGAGTACCATTAAAAAAAGGAGGAGAGTTATGAAGGATGGGTGTTGAATAGAAGGAAAGATGGAGCAAACCCCACGAGTCATGACTGTCCGGGCCTACTAATTCAGTGAGTCAAGACGTGCCTCGACTGTGCCATGTGCCAGCTGATTTGCGAGTCTATGATCAATTGGTCGCTTTTAAGCACAAGGGGGCTATCCCGAAAAATGCTGTTTTGAGAAAATCGAAGGCAAAGTTTTTGCCCTTTGTTCAGTTTTTTTTAAGAGACAAGGAGAGTTTTCTCTGTAACCAAATAAATAGACACACCAATGAAATCAAACTTCTCCTATTGGTAGGGCAATGCCCACTTTTGGTGTAGGTCAAGATTTCTGGAGGGTTGTACATGATGGCCAGCTAACTGACAGCTTTGCCATCAAGACTGGTGTTAGACAGGGATGCTTACTATCACCATTCCTCTTCACATTGGCAGTTGACTGGCTGATGAAGGAAACCACCAGAGGACACAGAAATGGTATACAGTGGACACCATGAACACAGTTGGACGATCTGGATTTTGCAGACGACTTGGCGCTTCTGTCGCACACCCAGGAACAGATGCAAGCAAAGACTTCAGTATTAAACAGCCTATCGGAGTCTGTTGGATTGAAGATCCACCCCGGAAAGTCAAAGGTCCTAAGGACAGATGCACAACGTAAGGAACAGGTCACAATAGAAGGAAAGGCACTAGAAAACGTTGAATCTTTGTGTTATCTTTGGGGTATAATTGACAGAGAGGGAGGAACAGGTGCTGAAATAAAGTCTCGCATTGGAATAGCACAGGCTTCTTTCATATCTTTGGATAGGATTTGGAAGACCAGAGATATCTCACTTCGAACAAAGCTGAGGATTTTCAATTCAAACGTGAAGTCGGTCCTGTTGTATTGATGTGAGACATGGAACGCACCACAGACTTGCATAAAGAGGATCCAGGTTTTCTTGAACAGGTGTCTAAGAAAGCTAATGAGGATCAGATGGACAGACAAGGTCACCAATGTGAAAGAGTTAAGGAAAACAAGACAGATCCCAGTCAAAGATGAGGTAGGAAGAAGGCGGTGGCGATGGATTGGACATACTCTCAGGAAGTCAGGCAGCTGCATAACAAAGAAAGTTTTGGATTGGAACCCACAGGGCAAGAGATCAAGGGGAAGACCTCGTGGAACCTGGAGAAGGATCACAGAAATTGATGTACAGAAAAGTGGGAAGACATGGAATAGCATCAAGAGGCTAGCCCAGGATAGAGAAAGGTGGAAGGTGTTTGTCCGTCGCCTATACCCTGGTGCAGGGTGAGAAAGGCAATGATGATGAATGAAGATTTCTGGAAACCCCCCGAAATCTGGGTTAGTCCGCTTGTCCTAAAAAGCGACCAATTCATTTTCAGAGTTGTAACCTCTGTAATTTTCCATTGGCAGGAAGCAGCAAAGGGTAGAAGATCCATTTTCACTCTCTCAACATAGATCTATTTTGTAATACTAAATTCGATTGAAAAACATTTGCTTCGTAAAAGGCTAGATCTAGATCTATAGATGGCTATGCAATCTTCAGTCATTGTGTGAAATTGTCGGTCAGTAGCATTGTATGATAGAAGTTATTGTGAGACCATTACTAAGTGGAACAATTCTTTTCGGCACTGATAGGCAATGCATGGCTAGACCAGGCTAGCATTGAAGGGGTGCGGCCTTTTCGTAATTTTCAAAACAATCCGGCCTCTTGCAGCTCTGGTTGTCCATTCATGCTCATAAATGCACTGTCTGTGTGATGCTTTCTCCCTATGTCTATCAGTGAAGCGATGTTCTTCTCTTTGCCCAAAAAAACAACAGGCAAACAAACAATGCACAGTACGAGGTTGAACGCGAATAAATCTGAAAACTATCCGAAATAATCAGGCCATACATACCGAGATAGTCCATATTGCCAAAGTTTGGTGGTGGAGCCCCTTGAGGCTGGGTCACTGATCCACACGTCGCCATTTTTTACATTGATTTCTTTATTTTTTCTAGAAATCAAAGGTGGCGAAGTTATGATGAAAATTTGAAGCGACCCCAGTAAATACTAGAGTGCTTCCGATTGAAAAAAAATGTCGCTTTCAGAAGACATTGCCGTGGTTACATCTGACGTAATCAATTTGTGATATTTTTTCCGCATAAAGCAAACATAGATCTAAGCCTAGGCTACTATCATTGGCTATATAAAACACCGTGCTATTTGGGCGCAGAGGGGAGATAGCTTTATCAATATCACCAACATATTGCGAATTCTTTGGGTTTAATTTCTCAAGTGTCAATATAGGCCTACTGTCAACACTACTCCCTACATTGTTATTCAAGTAATGGTCGGGATTCTTCTTTTTCTTCTTCTTCTTCTTCTTCTTCTTCTTCTTCTTCTTCTTCTTCTTCTTCTTCTTCTTCTTCTTCTT